TTATTAGTTGTGAGTCTAAAAATTACTATATAATGTTCTGTTTGCCTAAAACATTCTGCTATGACCTTCAGAGCAAAACAAAATTGATGGGGAATTATTAATTATCTCTGCTCAGTCAGAGAGGGTCGTAGGTGAATTTTTCCCTTTTGTCCTCGAATTTGGCTGAATGACCGATTGTACCGAGATACAATCGATTATTACCTGGATAAATTTTATGTACACCGCAAATGAAAAAGAAGAATACTGAATAATTTTTAAAAGGTTATGATATATAAATAAAACGTGTTTATTAGCTATGAGAGGAGAATTTTGATGTTTTATTCAAAATTTAGCTATATTTTGGTTGTAATAGGTAAGTCCTTGGAATTTAATATATATACAGCTTATGTACCGGTTAAAATAGATATCTATCTTGGGTGGCTCACAAAATAAATGACTTTAATATTTACAAACTAAAAGGTTAAAATTGGTTAATTATATGTACAATTTTCAGAATATTCCCCAAACACTGAGGGTGGAGATATTTCGTGTGATAACACCTTCTAACTGATGGACTTGAGTTGGTATAATCAGAAAATTCCTACCTTGGATTGTCACTATCTTACATAGTCGAGGGTTGAATTCGAAGGCCTCTTTGGAAGGGTGACTTGACAAGATTGGATCCAAAGGTACGAGTAGGTCCACTTATTTAATCTCTAATTAAAATATCGTTCTTCATTTGTAGTAACTCCAGTTAGTAAGGGATGAAAATGGTGTCCCAATCGTTTACTTCTATCCAACAGTAAGGTTCTCAAATACAGCTGCCGTTGAGACTACCTCAGATTAATGTTATGTCCGGAATTGTACGTAATAAAAATGAAATGTAACTATCTGTGACTACGATAGCCAGAAAAGGAAACAGAATAGTATAGAATGGAATAGAATAGAAGGCCTGAGGTGAAAGGTGGCCTTTTTAAGAAATTATTTTTGCTAAATTGAAAATAAAATCCTCTAATGAGATTAAATATACTAACAAATAGCAATACTTATTAAATTTTCAATGTCTTTTCGCTTCTAGTATCTTATATCCTTATAAGAAGATCTTCAAAAACACATGTTCCATGAAGGTATGATACCAGAAGAATGAAAAATGGTGGAAAGGATATGCACCGACAAAATTAATGACTTCTAGAGGAAGTGAAAATAAAATATGACAGGTAATTTAAAATATTATTAGCCAATTTCTCACAATCACCTACTTAATTCCAAAATTACCTAGATTATTTGGGGTTTTAATTATTTGTAATGATTTAGACAATCACCTGAATAAATTTGAATGACATAATGTCATAATTAATGTAAATAAACAAAGAAAATGAACCCTGAAACCATTTATAGAATTCAAAACGTTTCTTTGTCCCTTTTAGGTTTCTAGAACTCAACTACAAACTAATTTAAGAAAATAATGGAAAATATATCTACAGAGGACCAGAACGGATATTCAAAACAAGAAAGAAACACTTGATAAAAGGTTAAACTTCTACAATTTCCAATTTGACAATATAAAAGGTATCTTTTCATTCTAGTTAACTCACAGAACCTGAGAAATGGATCTCCTAATAATCTTCTAGCCAAAACGGTGTATACGGAGTGAGCTTTTAATAGATTTTATTCCTATTATACTTAAATAATAAATTAGAGTAAATTAAAAGTTAAATGCCAATACTATATATATTATTTTTGTGGTAAAAGCATCCCAGTACATTCATATGGATTTTGAACCGTAACAATTCATTTGGAAAAGTTATACGTCGTTTCAAAGGTAAGTAAAGAAATAGGCGGTACAAATATATTGTAGAATATTATTACCAATGTTTTAAGCAGGTTTCCAACAAAACTTTAAAAAATGGAAATTTGGATTCAAAACCTAGAATTAGGAACGATTGAAGATAATATAATTAACAAAGACACAAAAATCTGTTCGATGCATTTTATAAATTATGATTTTGTTATGAATTCCACCAGAAAAGATAAATTTAACGCAATTCCTATGTTATTTAATTTTCAACTTGATCCGTCTACAAGTAGCTATAATATTATGTAATACCCAATACAAATTATTTATACAAATTATACCTAGTGATTAAATAACAGCTATTTATCTAACCAGTTACGAAAAGCCTTATTTTGTGTAACGAATATTTCGTAACGTGTTACATACAAGATTTTTCTAATTTTGACTTGATTATTTGTAAAATTGTATTTGATTAAAAATTGATTAACCATCATTCTTTTGTAGGTACTTCCAATCAAATATTTCAAAAAATATGACGTTTGTTCAATAGTAATAATAAAAATAAAAGACTTGTGCAGTGTTGCCGATCTGATTTTTGACATTAACCACGGGAAATTTGAAAAAAAAAGTAGTACGTTAAAATTTTACACTCAACATTTCTGGGCAGTTTTCAATAACGGTGTTTAATTATTTAAAAAATAAAATGCAATTTACAGCTTCTATTGTAACCATTCGGATGTTTCACTTATCGCTAGGTACGGACCACCCTGTCATGACTCACGGGTGCTACTCATATTTCGTAGAACGGTACGTCGGACTGGGACGCATAAGAATATTTGGTGATAAGCACATCATTCTTACATAGACATTTATTCGATACATTTCATTTTATGTATTATTATTCCTAACATCGATTAAATTTGATTCTATATTAAAATCCGATTTATTTCATATAAAATTAATTAACATAGTTTACCTTTGTTATAGAAAAACGTACGTGACGTTAGTCGTGCAGAAACTTAAGCTGTTACGTAACTAAAAAAGGATACAATTAATTAGGTTATTCAGTGATTCGTGTTAAGATAGTGTTAAGAACTTGGTGTTATGATTGTGTTAGGAACGATAAGCAAAGCTTTTAGACTCTATAGGCATACGATCTGAACGTAATTATATTCCGACGAGTCAAGACAATATGTTACCCTTTAACGAAGGGGGTCGTAAAAAGAAGCGACAGTTAGGTATATTGCGAGAAAATATAGTACAAAGCACATTTCATGGTTTATATTCCTATTCCAGTCAACAAAGTTTAAGTGTTACAAACGAAGCTTGAATTAGACAGTTGAAAACAGTAATAGAGAGAATGTCAAGACGAAATCCCAAGTCGCCATCCATAATGCTGCTCGTGCTGGTCGTTACGAAAAACCAGAGGCATTGTTGAAGGATACCTGTCAAAGCTACGTAAGGAAAGTATCATTGAAGTATCGACTAAAAAAAAACAGAGGGTTATTCACTTTCGAATACACGAAGTACTAAACCGAATACAAAACCTGATGTTTTCAATGTGTGATAAATGTAAAAATAAATGTTTTTTTCAGTCAAAGTGTCAGAAATCACGTGTTGAATGCACAAAATGCTATCTTTTAGGACACGAAACAGGACGTTGTGCATAAATGTGCATAAAGAGTAAAGTTGATATTGAATAATTTGGAGAACCTAGAAATATTTAGATTAAGAAAAAGTACCAATGCATTATCACTAAACTCACAAGTTTTTTCCGAATCCACACCCACGTTCTCAGTTCTTTTTTAAAAATCTACGTTTTCCTTAAATTACCCCCCCCCCCCTTTACTTTAAAATTTCCCTATGAAATTCTATTGACTTTAATTATTAGTTATACTTATCTCTATTTTTATTCTGTCTCGATTTCCATTTTCATTTTTTAGCACATTACTTCAAAAAACAACTAACCAAATCAATAGTTTTTTCTTCTTTTCATTAACACCATTTCCTTTTTCCGTTGATTGTTACCAACTTTTTAATTTGAATATTAGTACATCTAAAATTATTTTCCAACGCTAATGCTAGACTCTACTTTTAACAATAATAATTTATTTATTTCATTTTGTTTATTATTACGTACAAATTCAAACAATTCATTTTATAAACCTATATTATTATTAAGAAACATTTATTTTTTCGCCAACGCCATCTTTTAGCCGATGGTCAAAATATTTAAATTTGACAACCTCTAAACTGTTATCTTAAATATTAGAATGGTTAATTCGTCTATTTATACCTAGAGGGCGTTAATCAGTATATTTAATCTAAATAAAATTTAATTCCTGTAGAATTATAAACACTTGTCCAAGAACCCATTTTAGTGCTTGTAGGGTTTAAAAGCTTTTAAATTTGTTTGTCTTAATTGTTCGTCCGTTCGTGAAATATTTTAATAATTTTAATTAATAGTTTTAGACCTACTTTTGTTTATGTGTTTTGACATCAACTTTTTGTTGCAACTATTGTTTTTTATGTATTTTAAAAAATACTCGCATACTTGTTTTTACACCGATCCTAGGATAATTCTCTTAACTTAGTCTTAAATAGACGAGTAATTACGGGTGAGTTCTTGATATTTGACAACTTTCATATTAAAATGTTTAAACCCACTTTATTAGTTATGAGCTCATTCGTTTTTCCTCTCTATTTTAGACCTTACCTGATGATGAGGATCTGATCCTCGAAACCGGTCGTAATAAAATATACTCTTGTGAGATCCTAAGGACCACCCTTGTTTGATTTACCTTTTCTATAAAACTTTTGTCTGAAACTTTTTTTTCTAAAATGCATATTTTCGGCGGTATTTAACTGTAACACTTTAATTTGAACACCCGGTATAATTACTATTATTTATGGACATCTCATGGCTATAAAATAGATATTCACCATGGACTTGACATTCAGTGGATATTGGGATGTCCAGTAGATATCCAAAGGATTTGGTGTGATGCAAGCAAACGCCTCCTTGTATATGGAATATGAAGCAAAATGTAATAAGAATTAAAAGACGAAGAGAAATATAGATCAAAAATTACATAGTAGAAGATAACCAGACAGACCACCTAAAATATGATGGAAAAGCTACACATTATTATTACAAGGTATGATAAACAGATGGTGAATAGAAAAAACAGACTAATTACATTACTGTAAATAAAGTAATTTTTATTTAATTGAACCCGTAAAACTGATAATTCTGTTCCACGACGTCGAAAAATCCACTTTCCAGATGTCTGCAAATTACAAATTCGCCCCAAGCTTCTTTATCGGATACTTCGCTTTCCGGCGTATATTTTCTCGACGAGAGTTTTGAAGGACATCCGTATCTTCTCGAGGGAAAATGACGATTAACTCTGGATTCACCATTATCCTTGGAGAGTAAAACAATGTCTAATGCGGTGTCAACAATCACAGGACCGGAAAATTGTTTGTCACGCTGTTTAACAAGAGAATGATACATATTTGCGTTTGAAAATTATTTCAAGGAGAAACATGGATACGGTCAAAAGGATTTTTTTCCACAAACGTCAAAAAAAGTAGACATTATTAACGTCAATTCATTATGTTGAAGTATGATTTCACAGACGCCACTTTTTTGTACGGCCGTGAGCGGACAAAAAAGTACTTTTTTGTACGCTGACAGCCGTACAAAAAAGTAGAATTTTTAACAGGGAAAATAATTATTAGTTGAACTTTTAAACTTTATTCACCATAATAATTATTAATAGTAAAATTACAGTTATTTAAGGTTGCACCGCACATATTTAATGCACTACCTGATTTATTCACTTCCAATTCAAGCGAATTTTGTGCAGAGTTGAAAGTGTTCATCGACAAAATTTCCCGTGACTCCTTACTTGTTGTTGCTTCTGTTACATCAACGTCGACATAATTTCGCTCATGAGAAGCTGCATTTAGGTACAGTGAAGAAGAATTCGACATCAAGATTTTTTCTGCAGTTTGTTTTTTATTAGACAAAGAGTCTTCAATGTATCCTTCAGCGACAGTGCTCGACCTCCAACCTCCATGCCGTTTCAAACAAGTAATATCAGCTCCTCCATCCACAAGCAAAGTAGCTGAAGTTCTTCTTAACGCATGGCCGGTGTAATCTTTTGAATTCGGTAGTTTTAAATAAGTTGCTACTGTTTTGGGTACGTTACTAATTGTATGAATTCCCATGACCATGCGATAACATTTTCCCTTTTGAAATTTCAAAAAAAAGCGTCGGCTTTCCATAGCTTTTGGACGTAAAGAAGTATATTTTCTGTAAAACTTTATATATTTTTCTCCAATAATTGTGAACGATCGTGGCTTTTTAGATTTACTATCAGGAATCTTTATATGAATAACAGATCCTAAATCTTTTATATCGTCTATTGTCATGTTCACCATTTCATCGCATCTACATGCTCCAGATACGCCCATTATTAGAACAACCTAAAAGTAGTATGTATTTAAAAACTTGATTGTATTTATGCAGGTTAGAATATTATAACTAACCTTAATTCCTAGATATTGCTCATTAGGTGCATTATTTAAAAAATCTTCAAACTGGTCTTTTGTGAATACCTTTGACTTTTTGGGAGTATACCCTTTATTCTGCTTCTTCAGATAAGCACGTAGTTTCATATATTTGCTAATATCTAATCCATGTTTAATATTCAGTAATGATTTTATCATGGAATACTGAGACCACATTGTTGAACTCTTCATTTTTAATTTAGTTGTCATTTCAAAAAAATAAGCTAGTAGCACATTTTCCGAATAGTTTGAAATGTTTTTATCATTGCACCATGTGAGAAATCTTTCGTAAGCATGATTATAAACTCTACTTGACTTAGTTGGAATTAAATCATTCGTAGCTGCCTTAGCAATGTCAACAACGTCGGGCGGTGTACAGTTGGGTTCTGAATCCGACATAATCTTAGATTATACAAACCTTAGATGGAACATAAGACTCTGCGCATAATCCCATTTCAAAATGATTTACACCCACCAATCACAGTTGAGAACATCACATGTCAGACCGTTGTCCATTCAAATTTAATGTGTCAACGAGAATTAATTTGGTATTTTAGTGACTTAAATTTTGGAAATTAACGTTGAAAATGCCAAGATGTGTTGTAAAAAGCTTTATTTAAAATAAACCTGCGAAATGTGACGGAGATAAAAGAAACTTACATTTATTTCGGTGAGATATTTAATTTTTAAAGATTCTGTCGACGTCCATATTTGTTGATTTGAAAATAAACAGAATCGGACTTGGTCATTGGTACAAGTTATAAGTAGCAAATAAAGGTTATTATTATAAACTGTTTACTATTTCTTGTTTCATAGGGAATCTTTTTTTAGGAAGTAAAAAGAGAAACATACAATCAAATACAAAAATATCAATTTCATTGCCAATTTATTCGTTTCAAACTTCACAACTGGTTTCAATAGTTTTCTCAAAACTATTTATTTAGTAATTCTCTATAACAGTGTTACTCAAAGTGTAAAGCCAAAGTTTCCGCGAAGAAAATAATCACAATAAAAATAACAGTACTATCGCCAAAAAATGGAGGGACCTGGCTTGAGGACCGTTTTTTGGGAAGTAATTTTTTTAAGTCACTAATAGGAAGGAGGATATGATTTTGCTTTAGGACTTTTTTTTATTTAATTTTTTATGGGTGAAATGGATTTGGGATAATTTTTACAAGGAATCTTTGGAATAAATCAAAAATAAATGATGCTCTTGTGCATTTTCAGCCTGAGTTGCCGATTAAATTATTCGTAGACGCATCAAATGTGGGAATAAGAGCCATGATATGTCATGTTTTTGTTTCTAAGTTAAAAAATCGAAAAATCGGGAAATCGAGAAATTGAAAAATCGAAAAATCGAGAAATCGAGTAATCGAAAAATCTAAAAATAAAAAATCGAAAAATCCAAAAAACGAAAAATCGAAAAAACCCAATATCGAAAAAGAGGCAAGGAATAGTGACATTTCACATTTGAAAATATGACATTACGTTTAAAAACAAAAAAGAAAACAAAAAAAGAAAGGCTGTAAATTGCGTTTAATTTTAAAATAACACCTTTATTGAAAACTGCCCAGAAATGTTGGGGGTAAAATTTTGACGTACTTCTTTAAGGATAATGGGTAAAAATGTTTTTTTTTCAAATCTATTTTTTTCAAAAATTAGATCGGCAACACTGCACATGTCCCTTATTTTTATTATTACTATTAAAAAAAAAAAAAAAAAACGTCGTAGGGCAATCAAAAACAACAATTTTCTAAAATATTTAATTGGAAGTACCTACACAAGAATGATGGTGAATCATTTTTCAACACAATTTTATAAATAATCAAGTCAAAATTAGAAAAAATCTTGTATATAAACACGTTACGAAATGCCGTTTTGTGTAAGTCGTTCATGTTGCGGGAACTCGCTCCGCTCGTTTTGCAAATATTTACTCGTTACACAGAATAAGGCATTTCGTAACTGGTTACATAAATAACTATTAATTGACTTTCTAATATTTTAATTCATTGAACGGTATTTTCCGTAAATAATTAAATCATAAATAATTACCAGGATATAAGTACCAAAACATTTTGTTCTCTTAGAACAGTAGGTCTATGCTTCATATGTTACCTCTACCCTTTCTAACCTCTTTGGACATAATATAATCTAAAAGAAAATTTCAGTACACTTTACTACAACAAACGAAATTTTGATGCTCAAGTACTTACCAAAAATGCAGAGTGCCAATTGTTGCTTTAAATCACTTACAATATTTCTGACATTATAAAATATTATTGAACTGTCAAATTTGTTTTTGACTTGGCAATCACAAAACCAGTAACCACGGAAATGTAGTGCGCAGTTTTATAATTATTATTCTCTGAATTTATCAACTTCGTTGCAATCGTTTTGAATTTTTATTTAAATATTAATTAGTTCTATAGTCTGGATGCCGTTTGCGGAAAAAATAGCATGTTTCATTCGGAGCAAAAGCACTTTTTGTGGCTCGTCTGAAATTGTCGGCCTCACTAACGTTCGGCCATCAAACATTCAGACTCGCCACAAAAAGTTATACTTTTACTCCTAATAAAACAATATACTATTTATTTTGTTTGTCGTTGACAGTATAAACAGCCACATATATAATGAGGAACATAATAAATATGTCGAAATCATTAACCTTCTAGCCAGTGGCATAACCAGAGTTGACTCATGGGGGAGGGGGGGGGGGTTACCCCCACCTGTCAACCACTCTAACATATTAATCCCTTCAAAAAAAGATTTCTCATAATACAGGTATAATATATATTATACTATAATTATGTAGCTTCAAATTAAATGAATAGATTATAATTTTTTAAAGTTATAAATGTTATTTTAGTTATAAATACAATAAATAGCTTTTAAATACCAGTAATCCTATTTATTGGTTACAATAATTTACTAACATAAAAATAAAATGAAATTGCATTATCAAACAAGATGAAAAATATTCTGAAATATAAAATATATAAGTAAAAAATTGCGATCGTTCCCCTCTCTATAGAAGTTTATACACAATCACTCAGAACAATCTAAATTCAAGTCGGCGAGGTGTTTTTGCTAACTCGTCCAACACTTCACTCGCAGTGAAATCTAGCTCTGTGGATATTAAGCATAGCAAGCCCATTTAACCTTTGCTGGCCAATTGTGCTCCTTAAGTAAGTTTTTAGTCTTCAAAGAGACGAAAAGGACCTTTCACTAGTGCTTGTGGACACATGAAGAGTAGCAAGAATTTTGAGAAGGGTGGATAAAACATTTTTATGGCAGGCAGTGTAGTAATTAATTGCCTTTCTTGAGCTGATTTTCAAATATTTTACCCTCTTGTACCACATATAAGGTTCTTCAATGGCAGCAACATTACTAATTTGTATATCTTCCTGATAGAAATTTAGTAGTTTTTTAAACTTTCTTCCTGTGTTTTGGTGGCTTCAGCATTGCTGGTAGGTATTAGACACTCAAAATTTCCCAGTACTTCTTCATATTTTAGAAACAGATGATTCAATTCACTTAAAAAGTGATCCAAAAATGGTAAAAAAATGGAATCCTAAAATATGATTCAGGAGTGTCTGTTTCAATGTTGCACCTCTATGTTTGTCTTCCAGTTCTTTTTGGGGTTTTTATTGCGGAACTGAGTAATTCAGCCATGGTCTCTGATAGTTTAAATATTGTTCAACGTTTGATCTCATTTTCTCTATCATCCCTTTAAGGTTGTTCACCATGTTCATGGCATCCAAAAGATCGATATCATCATGCTGCAAGGATCGAGCAAAGGGTAAGCTTAGGGAAAATACTTTACCCAGCAACTAACTGTAAACTGATTATGAAGGATGAATTCTGAAATGCACATAAGAGCTGCGATGCCATCAAAGCTGATTATAGATCCTCCCA